TGTGTGTGTGTGTGTGTGTGTGAGAAAGTGTGTGTGCGAGAGAGAGAGAGAGAGCGCCCGCCCGCGCCGGCGAAACACGCAGTCGCTACACTCGATCGTGAACCCCGCGAAGCGCTTTCTGAGACGTCCTCCCCATTTGCCAGAGCGCAGGAATTGTTCTGTTAACGCTCTTCCTTCCTTCCTTCCTCCTCCTCCTCCTCCTCCTCCCACAGGGCTACACCTCGTTCTGGAATGACTGCATCTCCGCCGGGCTGCGGGGCTGCATTTTAGTGGAGCTGGCGCTCAGGCGGAGGGTCCAGCTGGAACCGGCCACCATGCGTAAGAAGAGCCTCCTCAATCGCAAGGTGGGTCCCCGTCCCCTTGCACTGTGCGTCCGTCCGTCCGTCTGTCCGTCCGTCCGTCCGCACTCCCAGGTCAGGGTTAGAGACACCGTAACGCTCCCTCTACACTGTGCGTCCGTCCACACTCCCAGGTCAGGGTTACAGACACAGTAACGCTCCCTCTACACTGTGTGTCCACACTCCCAGGTCAGGGTTAGAGACACAGTAACGCTCCTCTACACTGTGTGTCCACACTCCCAGGTCAGGGTTACAGACACAGTAACGCTCCTCTACACTGTGTGTCCACACTCCCAGGTCAGGGTTACAGACACAGTAACGCTCCTCTACACTGTGTGTCCACACTCCCAGGTCAGGGTTACAGACACAGTAACGCTCTACACTGTGTGTCCACACTCCCAGGTCAGGGTTACAGACACAGTAACGCTCCTCTACACTGTGTGTCCACACTCCCAGGTCAGGGTTACAGACACAGTAACGCTCCCTCTACACTGTGTGTCCACACTCCCAGGTCAGGGTTAGAGACACAGTCCCTCTACACTGTGTGTCCACACTCCCAGGTCAGGGTTAGAGACACAGTAACGCTCCTCTACACTGTGTGTCCACACTCCCAGGTCAGGGTTACAGACACAGTCCCTCTACACTGTGTGTCCACACTCCCAGGTCAGGGTTACAGACACAGTAACGCTCCTCTACACTGTGTGTCCACACTCCCAGGTCAGGGTTACAGACACAGTAACGCTCCTCTACACTGTGTGTCCACACTCCCAGGTCAGGGTTACAGACACAGTAACGCTCCCTCTACACTGTGTGTCCACACTCCCAGGTCAGGGTTACAGACACAGTAACGCTCCTCTACACTGTGTGTCCACACTCCCAGGTCAGGGTTAGAGACACAGTAACGCTCCCTCTACACTGTGTGTCCACACTCCCAGGTCAGGGTTAGAGACACAGTAACGCTCCTCTACACTGTGTGTCCACACTCCCAGGTCAGGGTTACAGACACAGTAAAGCTCCTCTACACTGTGTGTCCACACTCCCAGGTCAGGGTTAGAGACACAGTAACGCTCCTCTACACTGTGCGTCCACACTCCCAGGTCAGGGTTACAGACACAGTAAAGCTCCCTCTACACTGTGTGTCCACACTCCCAGGTCAGGGTTACAGACACAGTAACGCTCCTCTACACTGTGCGTCCACACTCCCAGGTCAGGGTTACAGACACAGTAACGCTCCTCTACACTGTGTGTCCACACTCCCAGGTCAGGGTTAGAGACACAGTAACGCTCCTCTACACTGTGCGTCCACACTCCCAGGTCAGGGTTACAGACACAGTAAAGCTCTACACTGTGCGTCCACACTCCCAGGTCAGGGTTACAGACACAGTAACGCTCCTCTACACTGTGTGTCCACACTCCCAGGTCAGGGTTACAGACACAGTCCCTGTACACGGTGTGCGCTGTGCTGCCCGTCCGCCCCTCTCACGTTCTCGCCGGGGTTTCAGGTGCTGTTCAAGTCGGACGCTCCCACGGGTGACGTGCTGCTGGACGAAGCGTTGAAACACATCAAGGGCACCGAGCCACCGGAGACCGTGCAGAGCTGGATAGAGCTGCTCACAGGTGAGGGGACACGCAAGACACACACACACACACACACAAGACACACACACACACACCACACACACGAGACACACATACATAAGACACACATAAACACAAGACACACACAAGACATACATCTCACACACACACACACACAAAGACACACACAAGACATACATCTCACACAGACACACACAAAGACACACACAAACACAAGACACACACACACACAAGACACACACACACACAAGACACACATGAGACACACAAAACACATACACACACTCACACACACAAGACACACGCACAAAAGACGCGCACAAAGACACACACAAGACACACACACACAAGAATAAGACACACACACACAAGACACACACAAGACATCTCACACACACACAAGACACACATAAGACACACACACACACACACACAAAGACACACACAAACACAAGACACACACACACAAGACACACACAAGACATCTCAGACACACAAGACACACACACACACACACACACAAGACACACACACACAAGATACACACACAAGACACACACCCACACACACGCACACACACAAGACACACGCACAAAAGACACACGCACAAAGACACACACACAAGAATAAGACACACACACACACACAAGACACACACAAGACATCTCACACACACACAAGACACACACAAGACATCTCACACACACACAAGACACAAGACACACACACACACACACAGGACACACAAGACACACATAAGACACACACACACACACACACACAAGACACACACAAGACATACATCTCACACACACACACACACACACACAAAGACACACACAAACACAAGACACACACACAAGACACACACAAGACATCTCAGACACACACAAGACACACAAGACACACACACAAGACACAAGACACACACACACAAGATACACACACAAGACACACACACACACACACAAGACACACACACACACACACACAAGACACACACACACACACAAGACACACAAGACACACATAAGACACACATAAGACACACAAGACACACACACACAAGATACACACACAAGACACACACACACACACACGCACACACAAGACACGCACACAAAGACACACACGCGCACACGCGTGTATCCTGTGAAGCGCTTTGGGACGTCTCGACGAGGTGCTAAGGCGCTGTATTAAACCCAAAGGTTATTATTGTTGTCATCCTGCGAGGACCGACGTGAAAGGCACTGAGGGTTGTTGTTAACTCTCTCTCTCTCTCTCTCTCTCTCTCTCTGTGTGTGTGCGTCTGTGTGTGTGTCTGTCTGTGTGTGTGTGTCTGTGTGTGTTGTGTGTGTCTCTGTGTGTATGTGTGTCTCTGTGTGTGTATGTGCGTGTCTACGTCTGTGTGTCTCTGTGTGTGTGTGTGTGCGCGTCTGTCTCTGTGTGTGCGTGTGTGTGACTCTGTGCGTCTGTGTGTGTGTCTGTCTGTGTCTGTCTGTGTGTGTGTTTCTGTGTGTGTCTGTCTATGTGTGTGCCTGTGTGTGTGTCTGCATGTCTCTATGTGTGCGTGTGTGTGCGTCTATGTGTGCATATGTCTGTCTGTGTGTGTTTGTTGTGTCTGTCTCTGTGTGTGTGTCTGTCTCTATGTCTGTGTGTCTGTCTCTCTGTCTGTGTGTCTGTCTCTCTGTCTGTGTGTGTGCGTCTGTCTCTGTATGTGTGTGTGTGTGTGTCTCTGTGTGTCTGTGTGTGTGTGCGTCTGTCTCTGTGTGTGCGCGTGTCTGTGTGTGCGTGTGTGTGTCTCTGTGTGTGTGTCTGTGTGTGTGCGTGTCTATGTCTGTGTCTGTGTGTGTGTGCGTGTCTGTGTGTGTGTGTGTCTGTGTCTGTGTCTGTGTGTGCGTGTGTGTGTGTGTGTCTGTGTGTGCGTGTGTCTGTGTGTGCGTGTCTGTGTCTGTGTTGTCTGTGTGTATGTGTGTCTGTCTATGTGTGTGTGTGCGTGTCTGTGTCTGTGTGTGCGCGTGTGTGTGTGTGTGTGTGTCTATGTGTGTGTCTATGTGTGTGCGTCTGCGTGTGCGCGGGGAGCAGGAGAGACCTGGAACCCGCTGAAGCTGCACTACCAGCTGAGGAACGTGCGGGAGCGTCTGGCCAAGGGCCTGGTGGAGAAGGGGGTGCTGACCACCGAGAAGCAGAACTTCCTGCTGTTCGACATGACCACCCACCCGGTGGTCACCGACGACACGGTCAAGCGGCGGCTGCTGAGGCGGGCCCAGGGGGCCTTCCTGGACCAGTGGACCGGGGGCCCCCAGCGCATGGAGCCCCGGCTGCTGGCCCTGCTGGTGCTGGCCCACGGCTCGGACGTGCTGGAGAACGCCCTGGTCCCTCTGGCCGACGACCAGTACGAGCTGGCGGCCAGCCGCTCCCGCCAGCTGCTGGAGGCCAACCCCGACCTGGAGGGGTCCAGGCCCGACGCCCCGGAGATGGTCTGGGCCGTGATGGCGGCCTTCACCAAGTGAAGACCCCGCGTTGGCCCCCCCCCCGCCGCCCCGTTCCCGCCCTTCGTCCCCCCCCCCCCTTGGTCCCGTCCCCCGCCCCCCCCCCCGCGGCAGGAGAGAGGCGGCCGTCGACCGGGCAGCGAGAGGGAATCGTCCCCCCACCACCCACTTATCCGCTGTGCCCACCCCCCCCCACCCCCCCCCCCTCTCTCTGTGTGTGTGCGTGTGTCTGTGTCTGTCTGTGTGCGTGTGTGTGCGTGTGCGTGTGCGCGCGCGTGTGCGTGTCAGACACCACCCAACTGATCACGGAGATGGGTTTCCGTGTGTGTGTGTCTGTGTGTGTGTGTGTGTCTGTCTGTGTGTGTGTGTGTGTGTGGGGGGGGGCGGATGTGTGTCTGTCTGTGTGTGTGTGTGCGTGTGTGTGTGTGTGGGGAGGGGGTGAGCGGGGGGGGCCGGAGTGGGGGTGACTGAGCTCTGGTGGACACTTGGTGTCTCCCGTCCATCAGACACACGCCGGGTGGTGGTGGGGTGGGGGGGGGGGGGAAGAGAGAGCCCGGTATGTCCCTCTGGGGGTGGGGGGAGCGGGGGGTGGGGGGGGTGGGTGGGGTGGGGGGGAGAGAGAGAGAGAGAGAGAGTCCATGTTCCATTCCAGACACCAGGGAGGGTTTCCGTGTGCGGGCGACGTGTGTGTGTGTGTGTGTGTGTATATATGTGTGTGGTTTGGACTCTGGTCGCGGTGAAGGGTTTCAGTGTGTGTGTGCGTGTGCGCGTGTGTGTGCGTGTGCGTGTGCGCGCGCGCGCGTGTGCGTGTCAAGACACCACCCAACTGATCACGGAGATGGGTTTCCGTGTGTGTGTGTCCGCGCGCGCCCTTGCCCGCACGCGTGTGTCGGACACCCCAGCTGCTCGCGGTGACGTGTTTCCGTGTCTCTACGCGTGTCAGGTCAGAAACACCCCCCCATCTCCCCCCCCCCCCCTCCGCCACTCACCCCCACCCCAAAAAATTGCCAGTGACTGTGTCAGTGGCCGAGTGGGGATTTGTTCTGCCAGACCCGGGGAGGGGGGAAGGTATTCCCGCAGTGCTGATCCGGGGACATTGTGCCTCAAATAATCTACATGATTTGCCCCCCCCCCCCCTCCCTCTCCCCCCCCCCCCCCCCCAGGGCTGGCCCCCAGGGTGTACATCGCTCCAACCTGTGCCAGTGCCAAGGGTAGATATTGGCTCACGATGCCACGGTCGTCGTCCACACGGGCTTCTGTCCATCCCTACTCCCTCTGCCCCCCCCCACACCCCTCCCCCCCACACTCCCCACCTTGCCCACGGTCCACCAAAGCCCCCCCACCCAAACTCCAGCCGTCAAACCGTCCTGAACCGCGCTCCACTGGTGTTGACGTCAAATATTTGGACTCTATCCCCCCACCACCACCACCCGCTCTCCGAGGCCCGAGTTCAGTGTTTGCCGGGTGGGGGGGGGGCGGGGGGTGTGGGGGAGAGGGACTGCGGGGGGAGTGAGGTGGGGTAGCCTTTGATCTCCACGGTGAAGGGTTGGACCGGGGGCTTTTAGCCTCGAGTATACGTTTAGCAAAGGGATCTGTTAATTGTCGCAAATTAAATTAGGGAGAGGTGGTGAATGGTTTACATGTTTATTTTGGTTGGGGGTTGGTTGGTTGGTTGGGGGTCGGTTGGTTGGTTGGTTGGTTGGTTGGTCGGTTGGTTGGTTGGGGTTGGTTGGTTGGTTGATTGATTGGTTGGGGGTCGGTTGGTTGGTTGGTTGGGGGTTGGTTGGAGGTTGGTTGGTTGGAGGTTGGTTGGTTGGTTGGTTGATTGGTTGGTTGGTTGGTTGGTTGGGGGTTGGTTGGTTGGTTGGGGTCGGTTGGTTGGTTGGGGGTTGGTTGGTTGGTTGATTGATTGGTTGGGGGTCGGTTGGTTGGGGGTTGGTTGGTTGGTTGGTTGGTTGGGGGTTGGTTGGTTGGTTGGTTGGTTGGGGGTTGGTTGGTTGGTTGGGGGTTAGTTGGTTGGTTGGGGGTTGGTTGGTTGGTTGGTTGGTTGGGGGTTAGTTGGTTGGTTGGGGGTTGGTTGGTTGGTTGGTTGGTTGGGGGTTGGTTGGTTGGTTGGGGGTCGGTTGGTTGGGTGGTTGGTTGGTTGGTTGGTTGGTTGGGGGTTGGTTGGTTGGTTGGGGGTTGGTTGGTTGGTTGGGGGTTAGTTGGTTGGTTGGGGGTTGGTTGGTTGGTTGGTTGGTTGGTTGGTTGGTTGGTTGGAGGTTGGTTGGTCGGTTGGTTCCTGAGATCTTTTGTTAGATTATGTAGTCCATAGTTTGTAAAATATATTACAACTGATTTAAGATTTCCAGCGTCTGAATCCACATCTGTTTCTGGTCCCGAGAGTTTCTTTGGAGGGGAGTCCTGTGGCTCAGGGGGTGAGGGCACTCGCTTTGCGAGTGAGAGACCCCGAGTTCACTCCCCGGAGGGGGTCAGTCGGGGCCAAACCTCGGGGAACGCGTTTCCTTCACTCCGCACAGCAGAGCCCCCAATCACAAACCCTCCAAAAAAAAAAAAAAAAAACCCCCAAACAATAATGATGACAAATTGGTCATCTTCAACCCCCGACCGTCTGTGGGTGGGGGGCGTCGCTGTGCGCCGTCGGCCGCCGCGTCCGCCCACAAGTGTGCGGTCACTTCACTTTGCAGTGCGTTCTGTGAAGCGCTTCGGGACGTCCTCTCCCGACGTGAAAAGCGCTCTATCAAATACAAGGATTATTATTATTATTATTATTGTTGTTGTTGTTGTTGTTGTTATTATTATTGTCTCACGGTGACTCTCGTGTCGGCCTGACTCACTCTGACTGTCAGGACACACACACACACACACTCACACACACACACTCACACACAGACACACACACACACTCACACACTCACACACACACTCACACACAGACACACACACTCACACACAGACACACACACACTCACAGACACACACACTCACACACTCACACACAGACACACTCACACACACAGACACACACACAGACACTCACACACACACACAGACACACACACACTCACACAGACACACACACTCACACTCACAAACACACACACACTCACACACAGACACACACACACAGACACTCACACACACACACAGACACACACACACTCACACACACAGACACACACACAGACACTCACACACACAGACACACACACAGACACACACTCACACACACACACAGACACACCACAGACAGATACTCACACACACACACACACACAAACACACACACAGACATTCACACACACACACATACACACACAGACATTCACTCACACACACAAACAGACACATACACAGACATATACACTCACAGACCTACACTCACAGTCATATACACTCACAGACATATACACTCACAGTCAGACACACACCGACACACTTACACACAGACACATACACTCACATACACATACAGACAGACACACAAACACTCACATACCTACAGATACACTCACACATACACACTCACACTAACACACACACAGACGGTTTCCGTGTATGTGTGTGTCACTGTGTGTGTGTGTCAGTGTGTGAGTGTGTCAGTGTCAGTGAGTGTATCAGTGTGAGTGTGTCAGTGTCAGTGTGTGTGTCAGTGTGAGTGTGTGTGTGTGTGTCAGTGTGTGTGAGTGTGTCAGTGTGTGTGTGTCTGAGTGTCAGTGTGAGTGTGTCAGTGAGTGTCAGTGTGAGTGTGTGTGAGTGAGTGTATCAGTGTGAGTGTGTCAGTGTCAGTGCGTGTGTCAGTGTGAGTGTGTGAGTGTCAGTGTGTGTGAGTGTGTCAGTGTGTGTGTGTCAGTGTGTGAATGTGTCAGTGTGAGTGTGTCAGTGAGTGTCAGTGTGAGTGTGTCAGTGAGTGTTAGTGAGTGTGTGTGTCAGTGAGTGTTAGTGAGTGTGTGTGAGTGTCAGTGCGTGTGAGTGTGTCGGTCAGTGTGAGTGTGTCAGTGTCAGTGTGTGTCAGTGTGTGTGAGTGTGTCAGTGTGAGTGTGTCAGTGAGTGTCAGTGAGTGTGTGTGAGTGTGTCAGTGAGTGTCAGTGTGTGTGAGTGTCAGTGAGTGTGAGTGTCAGTGAGTGTTAGTGAGTGTGTGTGTCAGTGAGTGTTAGTGAGTGTGTGTGAGTGTCAGTGTCAGTGCGTGTGAGTGTGTCGGTGAGTGTGTCAGTGTCAGTGTGTGTCAGTGTGTGTGTCAGTGAGTGTTAGTGAGTGTGTCAGTGAGTCAGTATGTGTGAGTGTCAGTGAGTGTGTCAGTGAGTGTGAGTGTGTGTCAGTGTGTGAGTGTCAGTGTGTCTGAGTGTCAGTGTGTGAGTGTCAGTGTGTGTGAGTGTGTCAGTGAGTGTGTCAGTGTGAGTGTGTCAGTGAGTGTCAGTGTGTGAGTGTCAGTGTGTGTGAGTGTCAGTGTGTGTCAGTGTGTGTGAGTGTGTCTGAGTGTGAGTGTCAGTGTGTGTCAGTGTGTGAGTGTGTCAGTGTGAGTGTGTCAGTGAGTGTCAGTGTGAGTGTGTCAGTGAGTGTATCAGTGTGAGTGTGTGTGTGTCAGTGAGTGTGAGTGTCACTGTGTGAGTGTCAGTGTGAGTGTGTCAGTGTGTGTGAGTGTCAGTGTGTGTGAGTGTGTCTGAGTGTGAGTGTCAGTGTGTGAGTGTGTCAGTGTGAGTGTGTTAGTGAGTGTGCGAGTGTGTCAGTGAGTGTGAGTGTCACTGTGTGTCTCAGTGTCTCAGCTGTTCATGTATCCCCTCCGCCGTCCCAGCGCCCGATTGGCCGTCAGAGCCGTCAATCGCATCCGGGGGCGGGGCGCAGCGTCCCGATTGGCTGCAGCGGGCGGGTGGGCGGCATCACCGCTCCCCTCGACCCGCCCACACCACTCCGGCGCCCCGATTGGCCATCAGAGCCGTCAATCGCATCCGGAGGGCGGGGCGCAGCGTCCCGATTGGCGTCACCGCTCCCCCCACCCACCCACACCACTCCGGCGCCCCGATTGGCCGAGGGAGACGTCAATCCGTGTCACCGTCCCGGTCGCGGCCAATCAGGCGAGGGAGCCGCCCAACGCCGAGGCCAATGGGGAGCGAGTGGGGGCGGTCCTGATGACGTTCACACTCAACCCCCCCCCCCACCACCACACCACCGCATTCCCGGCGCTTCGATTGGCCGAGGCAGACGTCGGTCTCCGAGTTGGACGAATGAGAGCAGCGCGAAAGCGCGAGGGGGGGGGAGGAGGCGGGTCAATCGGAGGCAGCCAATCGGAGCGGCGGTGGTGGTGAGGGGGGGGGGGAGGAGGGCGCATGCGCGAGGGCGGGCAGTCAGTCAGGCCGACGCGAAAGGCGGGGAACGCGTTCGTCCGCCTCCGCCGCCGCCGCCGACGACGACGACACGTGGTTTTCCCGCCTCTCCTCTCCTCTCCCTCCCCTCAGGGGGTCACCCTCCAACCGGCCTCGAAGCCTCGTGGGGAGGGAGGGGGAGGGGGTGGGGGAGAGGGGGTTGCGCTGAACGTGAGGGGGAGTCGGGGGGCGTCCGCCACCCGCGAGCAGGTGAGAGAGAGAGAGGGGGTTCGCCCGCGCGCGCGAGGAGGGGCCGAGGGGGTGGGCGGGGCTCCGCCGACGGTTGGAGGTCGTCGTCGTCATCGCCGTTCGAAAAAAAACGGCCGCGCACTCGGCTGCGCGCGCCGCCGCGCGGGGCGCGCCGGGAAATGTAGTCTTTTCCACTTCGATAACCATAATCACAACAATAATAATAATATTAATGACAATAATAATCCTTTTGCGTTTGATAAGGAGCGCTGTTCGCGTCGGAGGAGGGAGGACGTCCCAAAGCGCTTCTTCACGGGACACACACACACACACACACACCGTAAAGGGGGAACCGACTGTTGTGTTTGTGGGTTCAGAACGACCCCCATTTTTGTTGTTGTTTTTTGGGAGGAATTACAGTGTAATAATAATATACCACTGAGACCCGTTATACTGTAACAATGCACTGTAACAATACACTGTAATACACTGTAATAATACACTAATAATACACTGTAATAATACACTGTAACAATACACTGCAATACACTAATAATACACTGTAATACACTAATAATACACTGTAATACACTAATAATACACTGTAATACACTAATACACTGTAATACACTAATACACTGTAACAATCACTGTAACAATACACTGTAATACACTGTAATAATACACTAATAATACACTGTAATACACTGTAATAATACACTGTAACAATACACTGTAATACACTGTAATACACTGTAATAATACACTGTAATACACTAACAATACACTGTAATACACTAATAATACACTGTAACAATACACTGTAACACACTAATAATACACTGTAATACACTAATAATACACTGTAATACACTGTAATACACTGTAATAATACACTGTAACAATACAGTGTAATACACTAATAATACACTGTAATACACTGTAACAATACACTAATAATACACTGTATTACACTGTAATAATACACTGTAATAATACACTAATAATACACTGTAATACACTGTAATAATGCACTGTAACAATACACTGTAATACACTGTAATAATACACTGTAACAATACACTGTAACAATACACTGTAACACACTAATAATACACTGTAATACACTAATAATACAGTGTAATACACTGTAATAATACACTGTAATACACTAATACACTGTAATAATACACTGTAACAATACACTGTAATACACTGTAATAATACACTGTAACAATACACTGTAATACACTGTAATAATACACCAATAATACACTGTAATACACTGTAACAATACACTAATACACTGTAATAATACACTGCAATACACTAACAATACACTGTAATACACTGTAATAATACACTGTAATACACTGTAATAATACACTGTAACAATACACTGTAACAATACACTGTAACACACTAATAATACACTGTAATACACTAATAATACAGTGTAATACACTGTAATAATACACTGTAATACACTAATACACTGTAATAATACACTGTAACAATACACTGTAATACACTGTAATAATACACTGTAACAATACACTGTAATACACTGTAATAATACACCAATAATACACTGTAATACACTGTAACAATACACTAATACACTGTAATAATACACTGCAATACACTAACAATACACTGTAATACACTGTAATAATACACTGTAACAATACACTGTAACACACTAATAATACACTGTAATACACTAATAATACAGTGTAATACACTGTAATAATACACTGTAACAATACAGTGTAATACACTGTAATAATACACTGTAATACACTAATACACTGTAATAATACACTGTAACAATACACTGTAATACACTGTAATAATACACTGTAATAAAAATATAACACTGACCCGTTATACTGTAACAATCACTATAACAATACACTGTAATACACTGTAATAATACACTAATAATACACTGTAACACACTGTAATAATACACTGTAATACACTAATAATACACTGTAATACACTAATACACTGTAATAATACACTGTAACAATACACTGTAATACACTGTAATAATACACTGTAATAATAATATAACACTGACCCGTTATACTGTAACAATGCACTGTAACAATACACTGTAATACACTGTAATAATACACTAATAATAATATGACACTGACCCGTTATACTGTAATAATACACTGTAACAATACACTGTAATAATACACTGTAATACACTGTAATAATACACTGTAATAATAATATAACACTGACCCGTTATACTGTAATAATACACTGTAACAATACACTGTAATACACTGTAATAATACACTGTAATAATAATATAGCACTGACCCGTTATACTGTAACAATGCACTGTAACAATACACTGTAATACACTGTAATAATACACTAATAATACACTGTAATACAC